ACCATTCAATTATATAGTACGCATAAACAACCATAACATTCATTACTGACCTGCAGAAAATAATATAAAAAGAACTTCTGTATGAAACTAGTATTTGCTCATCATGTAAATGGCCTAATAAAAATATGTGGACATTTCCTTTCTGTGCACTTAGTTTTAATAATTAGAACTTTAATTAAAGAAATATAATGGAAGTAGGCAACTCTGAAAATTTTTTTGGGGGGGGGCTTAAAATTGGGATACGTTTGTTTTTGAAAAGTTAAATGATGTGACATCATCCAGAAGCAAATTTAAGATGATGTAATAACATGTACAGTGACAATTTCAGTATGCCAGCATCAACACCTTTTCTTTATTTTTCAAAAACATTGCTTAGATGTATTTAAAAACCTTTTGCTGCAAACATGCAATATGCAATATTTTCTAAATATATAATGGAAGCTCCATTGCTGGAGATTTTCAAGAAACATTGCACAACCATTTGTCTGACATGGTATTATGACTCCTGCCTTGGGCAGGGGGGTTGACTAGAAGACCTCCAGGGTCCCTTCCAGCCTTGTGATTCTATGAAGACTTGAAGAGTAACCTGATTTACACAGTAGAGGATATACTGGAAAAGAATTACTGTTTTAAAATAGACAAGTTTTGACATTGTAAATTTTACTAAATTAAATGGACTATAATAATGAAAACATGTATATAAAGAAAAACAAAATAAACATGATTTCTGGAAATTTTCTCTGATCTAAAATGTTCAAATTATGTGACTCTTCATCTAAAGCAGTTTAGCTGGGTTTTTTTTTTTTTACCTAAACTTATTTTCTTTGGTACTTATTAACCTTTTTATGCGAAGTTTTTAACAAATAACAAATGGTATTACCAAATAAAGGAAACACACCTTAAACCCAAATGATATATCCTGTTTTCCCCAAAATAAGACATCCCCTGATAATAAGCCCAATTGGGCTTTTGAGTGCATGGCAGTAAGGCCAAGCGCTTATTTCAAGGTTAAAAAAAATATAAGACAGGGTCTTATTTTTGGGGAAACGCAGTAATGTGGAGCATTTACAGACATCTGTAGGTATTTTATTGTCATTAATGTGGAACTCCTGCCTTAAATATTGAATCACTGTATAAATTGTTTTTACAAGGAAAGATCGGATATGAATATTTTTCACATTTATTTAAGTGAGCTAAAATATTCAAGAAAAAAATCCCAAAGATTTTTTGAAACTTGCTCATTTATTTACATATGGTAACTTATGTCTTGTAAAATATTTTGAAATGTTCACTAGTGATCATAAATAAAGTGACTTAATAGCAATATAGTAACTGATAAAATATTCATCTGTGTTAACACAGGTGTAGTATAAAATTACAATTGAACCTAAAATTTTTGTTGCTAAGCAAGACATTTATTAAGTGAGTTTTGCCCCATTTTATGACCTTTCTTGTCACAGTTAAATGAATTGCTGCAGTTAATAATGTGATTGTTAAGTGAATCTGGCTTCCCCGTTGACTCTGCTTGTTAGGTTGCAAAAGGTGATCACATGACCCCAGGACACTGCAACCGTCATAAATACATGCCAGTTGCCAAGCATCTGAATTTTCATCACGTGATCGTGGGGATGCTGCAGCGGTTGTGTGAAAAAAAGAGTTACTTTTTTCAGTCCTGTTGTAACTGAACGGTCACCAAACAAATGGTTGTAAGTTAAGGACTACCTGTACAGTGTCTGTATATAACATGTGACTGTATCTGTTCTCTGCTTAGGCTATTTGGAAAATAGAAATAGTGTTAAGAAGTCAATCAGTTTCTTAGATATTTAAAGAAAACCTGCTAGCATTAATTCATAAAAATAGAAGACTAAATACTAGAAAGAGACTAGAAAAGAGTTGGATATAGTGGTACTTGGGCATAGTGGTGTAACCATGTAAGGTAGCTTTCATTTCTGCTTTTTTAAGTATAATTTGCTTGTAGCTCCAAACTGAACATTTATCAAATAGACAAACAAATGAAATATTTCTGTTTCTCTTAAAATGACATACTTAAAAGCCAAGATTATAAATCAACTTGAAGTCCTGATTTTAATTAATCCTATAGCTTGCTTAAACTATTATACATTAGAACTGTTAATATTATATACAGGCAAAACCTACAAACAAGTAAAGGATATAACTGAGAAATAGGATAGGAGTCTATGACAGCTTATAGTTCCTTAGAAATATTTGGAGAATTAATCATTAGTACTCATTCTTTAGAATAATTGTTGCTTAGGGAAATGTATACTCATTGTCTACATAAAAATAAGGTTATCTTAAAATTTTGCTTCATTTAGCATAAACAAGGAATATTTTGTCTAGATGACACAGACAAGCACCTTTGATTCTGTATCAAATTTACTGTACATGTATTAAAATATCAGTGTACATTTTCCTTAAAAGACATTTATTGAATAAAAAACTTACACTCAGCTTAGTAAAAACGATTGCGTGCAAAGAAAGTGATAAAAATGATATAAGTTGATCAATTAACAATATTTTGGAATATAGATCTATGATTCCATAACTACATATTAATACATTGTTTAAAACCTGCAATCATTTTGATCAATACAGTCATGGAGAAATTAGTTATACTTGACTTCACTTTATGACACATTTATTTGGCATTTGCTGGAAATTTTAACACATGATGATCTGATCCCTTAAAGAATTTTTGTGAACAGGTACTTCATTCTGGAATTGAATAAAAATTTCATGAACAATTATTTGCAGAATTGAGATTTTAATTTAGTATCATACTATGCAGGAGTCGCCTAAGATTAATGCATTTAAGTATGTATTCTCCCAAGGTATAGATTCTGAGAATCCAAAACAAGGATACAGTTTTGCAAGAATACTACATTGTTCAAGCGACACCAGATAAATGGTCAATACTACCCACCTTGGAAAAAGCATTTTAGAAATCAAAATCATATTTATTTTTTTTATGAATTAACAATATAAGATATCACATTAAGCCTTTAGAGCTATAAACCTCTGCACTCAGTTAAAGACTGAAAAATGAGTGCAATTAAATTCCTTACAAAAAAGAAATGTGCTATCTTTTGTATGGTGATTATACTTACTTCCTACTTAATCACAACATGATTCATAAACACTGATACTGGTCATAAATCTAAAACACATTTTTCTTTCTTAACCTGGTTTTAAGCAAAGAAATCTGAAATAAACATATATACAAAAGCTTTTAAAAGTACAAAAATAATATCTATTTGTGATTGATCATGCTTTACAACTTTCAGTTGAATACACATGCAAGATAGTAAAACATAACAGCAGTCCTAGTCAGGGCATGTGACTAGCTCCTGATAGAAAATGGGTATGTATTCAAAATAAATTTAATGCCCAATACTGCAGTATTTAAGTCTCTGCATGTGTATGTACTAATACAACAGCTTTCATATTGTTCTTTTAAAAAAATCTCTACATTACAAGCACTAAAACCTACAATAGCTATATGACTATTTTTACAAAGAAATATAATGTACAAAGTAAAAGTAGGGGACATGTATTACCATGCAAAATTTAGGAATTATATTAAACTCAATTTTTAAAAAGTTGGCAATTCCCATAAACACTCAGAACATTAAGCCAATAGTAATCTCCGACTAATATTATGTTATACCAAAAGAGTAAAACAAAAATAATAAATTTTATAATTTGCTGGTTTTTGTAAAATATTTAAATCGAGGAGAACAAGTCTGTAGCCTTCATTTTCTTCCCATTAGATCATGAAATGAGCTAAAAAGAAAAGAAAAAAAAACATTTCATCTTCTATATATATCACCTTTCCATGAACATTTTGCACAGGCTACAATTTTAACATCTTACTTTAGAGAAAGTTCCAAAAAATCAACAGGATTTTCAATTAATATTAAGGTTATTGATGTTCCTTTTTTTCTAAAAAATAGTTTTTATTAAACATTTTTCAACTTTAAAAACCACAAGTAAAAAAGAAAAAAAGGGGGAAAAATACAAATAAAAAAACACAAGCAACACAACAACGTGATATAATTTTACAGCTTTCCGTATCAGCATGTATATTTTGCTTTTGTAATTCACTATTCAATACCCACTTATACAGTCTACTCCAAGTTTTATAATAGTCCGACTCTTCTATTTCTTTTAACTCCATGGTCATCCTGTCCATTTCAGCACATTCAAGTATCTTCCTAATTACCATTTCATCTGAGGGGGTATTTATTTGTTTTCAGTTTTGTGCAAAAGCGATACTAATAGTGGTTAGTATGTGTAATATTATGTATTGATAATTCTTATCCATTTTTGGATCTAGTATGCCTAATAAACATAATTCTGGTTTCAATTCTATCTTATGTTCCATGATTCCTTCCAGCCATTCCTTAATTTTAAGACAATATTTCTTAGCGTTGGGACATGTCCACCACATATGGTAGAATGTTTCAGATTTATGTCTACATCTCCAACACTCGGGGGATAAGTTTGGGAACATTTTGGCGAATCTCGCTGGGGGTAAGTGCCATCGATAGAATATTTTATATAGATTCTTCTTATAGGCTACTGCCATCATAACCTTATAATTTCTTTCCCACAATTTGTCCCAATGTTGTAGCTCAATATTATAGCCAAAATTCCTGGCCCAACTTATCATTGTCTCCTTTACTGTCTCTTCCTCCATTTTATATCTTAAAAGAAAGTTGTATATTTTGGTGTTTTTGCTGTTATTATACATCTATAGCATAGGATCAAGAAGTGATTAAACAAACATTAAAGCAAAATTACCAAGATGCATATTAAACAGAGTTGAATAAAATTTGGGCCTGAGGAACTGAGTTTCACAGTTAAGTTTACTACTCAGTTTTTAAGTTTTCTAAAATTTAAATATATTTATTTACCAAACCCATCTCAGCGAAGCAAGACATATATTATAGTTGAAATTTAATATATGATCTCATTGATCAAGTATTTACCTCTTTCACTGTCTTTTTGATGAATTCTTTTCTGTCAGATAAGTCATAACTGGGATAGCTTTTATATACCTGTAATGATCAATTTAAAACAAGTTTAATCAGGTGAAATGGAATGAACCCATTTATGATGGGAAAAAGGAAGGATTCTGTTTTAAGAACTATTTCCTTCAGTATTTTCATTATTAAAATTGTTCCCTCAACTATTTGCACGAAGGAAATTATGCAATAAAAATAAAAAGTACTCATGTCCCCAACCATTACAACAAAACTGAGGAAAACTAGTACTGACTTGCACTCTATTTCACAGTGAATCCTTTCCAGTTCTCATCTTCATATACGGAAAAGAGAAAACTGAGCTAAATGCTTACCCTGAAAGTTTACTATTTTTTTGATTTGACAAAAGCATTTAAGAATGGATTAATGTTCCCTATAACTTGAAAGGCAGGGCTCATATGACCTAGATATTTTTCTTTTAAATGTTCTACTGATGGACTCTTTAGACTTCTCTCGTATAGCTGACTCTGAGAAAGTACAAACCAAAGGTGTCTATCAAATAAAGGAAGACAAAAAGGAGGGGGGATGTTAATACACAAAATTGTTGCCAGAAATTGGGCCAATTACTTCCTCTGTCTAATCTACCACAGAAGCTAATTGCTGCAGGAACAGAATAAAGGAAGATTTGTGTGTATACTGCTTCAGATCTCATTAAAAATATTTATTTATTTTGAATGCTATATTAAAAAAAAATATGTATTACAGGAGAGCTATGAAAGAGGAAATATACAAATCAATATTGAAAATGTCAGATTAGGACGGGAAGGCTCATATTCAGAATTCTATTCCATTATGATCCTCATTAATGACCATGGACTTGTCGGTATACCTCAGCTCAAAACCATACTAATTTCTAAAGAATTCATGTGTTGTTGATGGCAAAGCAGACAAAACAAAAGTACAGGCCTTTTTATCATGCATGCTGCATTCTATTTTGTACTGTATTTTCTTTTATGCAGGATGGTCTGTAATCTGTAATCAAGTTTGGTTGACTAATTAAATTTCAGCTCTTCACTGGACTGATTGCAACCATTAAAAGGGGGGGGGGGTTTAGGAAGGAATAGACTTCCTTGCTGCAAAGGCAAAAATAGGCAAAAACTACAGAAATACTGGATCTTTATTCATAGCCTTGAAAACTAAATGTACACAGTAAATAGTACACAAAATAAATGGCTAATATATACCTCTTTACAAATTTGTTTCATGGTAACTTCCTCCAAATTTGCATCAGCAAGTAATTTTTTCACGGTTTCTTTCAATTCTTCATCTGTAGGTGGCTTTTTCAATTTTTTAATTAAAGGCTCATCATCTGAACTATTCTCAGATTCACTTTCTAAATGAAAAATATTTTGTTAAAACGCAGATAACTGGTTTTTTCTTCCACCAGTCAAATTTAACTTTGAATAAAATTGCAAATTAGTTTATATTAAAGAAAGCTTTACATACTGGGATTTTTCAAAGAGAAAGATTCAGATAGTAAAAAGGTATCTTTTAGATTAGAGTACCTCAACCTTTCTGGCTTTGCGGACTGGCCGGGGGGAAGGGGATGGTCCCATGCAAGTGGCGGGCAAGTGCATGCACACAAGCAGCTCCATTTGGAGCATCTGCGCTTGCCCAATGCTCATGCAAATGTCGTGCACCCTTGCCTGCCACTCAAGGCCCAGTAATGGGCTGCGGCCCAGCGGTTGGGGACTTCTATTCTTCTATTCTTTTCTCCTGTTTTCATATCCTCTAACTTTATTATTTCTTATCCCAGTCATCTCTGGGTTCTTTTCATCCAGTATAAATGAGAAAGGAAAAGATAATGTTTGATTTCTAATATGGTTGGTTTCATTAAAAAAAACAATTCCTCTTAACCTGACAGAACAAAGGAACAAATTCTTTTTGTATAAAATATGAAATTCAAAAGTGCCCTAGTTTCCATGCAATAGCTCCAAATCATGTGACTGAAGTTGTTTAACAGAAACTGAGTTCAGTATTTCCAACTGGCCTGCCAAGACATTTGCTTTTTGGTCCCAACAGTCAAGGTGAGCATTAATATTAATGCTTAATTAATTATTTTGATATAAATCAATTTTTTTTTAAAAAAGCCATGAAATAGTACAAAATATTTTGAGACATTAAGAATGCCTGGTTCCTTAAAAAACACCCACCCACCCAAAACCACCAGTTGAAATTAGTTTTTTTGTCAGCTTATAATATCTGAGATTTGATGAATGGTGAATTTACCTTTTTTGGAAGAGTTCTGACTCTTCTTGGTTGTACTGCTATCTGCTTTCTTGACATAAGCATTTCTTGAACCCTTTTTGCTTTTTGAAGCTACTTTTTGTTTGGGTTTTTCTTTCTTTGTTGATTTTTTAGGTCGCTGTGCGGTAGGTAGAAAGCACAGTAAAATCTATTTCAATATCAGTTTTAAACATACTGAACTAATGCAAATTTAATGCTGAAGAAATAAAATAAAAGTATAACCCATTTAAACACTGTTATGTACACTTTACCTGTCCCAAATATCTGTGGCTTGTTAGAACAGGTGTTCTATTTTTTTTTTCAGTATGCAAAAAGATACATTATAGAACATGTAGAATTGTGCCTAGAAATCTGATACGTAGATGATTTTGATCTTAAAATAACTATGTTATAACATTATAAATTGTAGTTTATAACTGCCATTATCCAGCAAATTCTTTTAAGAATCATTTATAACATTAATATATCTTAAAAGCGATAAATTCAAGGAATTTTGGGACTATCTAACAATCTGTTCCCATGCGTTTGCCGTTTAACTTAAATTATTGGCAACAGTATAATTCTTTAGCACATATTATTTATACTGAAGTTCTTACCTCTTCTTCACTTTCTTTATCTTCCTCAGATGATACATCTTTCCCTTTCTTTTCATCGTCCTCACTGCTAGATTCATCTGTTAGGATTTCAGGACATTTGGTGCGTTTGGCTTTCCGTGCTGTTCCAGAGCTACTACGCTCTTTTTTACCACCTTTGTTGGGAGTTTTCTTGGATTTTGGCAATGGCTATTAAATATTGAAAATGAAGTAATTTATTTAAAAACAAATAGTTTTATAATCTATATGTATCATAGGAAATACTGTAATTTAACTAACTTTGATGATTGTTCCTATTTTGAAAATTTGTTGGGAAAATAGTTTCATAGGATTATAGGTTTATTTTAAGTGAATCAACATTTTTTGACTTTTATAAATTGTTTTGGGCTAATTTTAGCTTTCAATATATATTATGTATTTTATGTTTTCATTTTTTTAACTTCTCAACTTATTTTTACTTTTGTGTATTAGACTCCTAATTCTTTTTCTATGGGAAGTCATGATACGCATTAGATGAGTAAACACATGCATTTTTAAAAAAGAAATAGAACTGAGTAAGAATTTAATCCCCATTCAGATTAAATATTGAATGTTACATATATGTGACCTTTTTGATACATTTTTCAAAGGTGCTCTGTAAGTGGGCAGTAACTCCCAGAAAGTCGGTTCCACAGAATTCAGCAGAAAATTATTGAAAGCAGAGTTTAAGGATTTCTGTTCCCTGACTGAAGAGGATTGTTTCTTTATAATTTGCGTTTAGTCCTCAGTCTCATGGATTCTGGTGATCTGAGATACTTTGTATTATTTATAGAGATTAGGGAAGATTGAAGAGGTAAGGAGAATATGGGTCTATAAAATTTAAATGCTATTACAGAACAAATCTTAACAACTCTTAATGAACTGTAGTTTTGTTCTACTTCAATTTGCATCTACCGTAATTTTCTCACTGTAAGACGCATTCCCCCCCCCCAAAAAAGTGGGTGGAAATGTCTGTGCATCTTATAGAGCTAATGTTGCTGAAGCCCTGCCCATCCGCTGGCCTCCACCCTTTGGCCGTTTTTGGCCTCTGCGCATCCTGTTTTTAGCTCATTAAAAGCGGCTGCGGCTGCCGCCTAATGCAATCGGCGGTGGCAATTGGCAGTGATCCCCGCTGTCTGGAACAGCTGATCAGCGGTATTCCTGGAGTCCGATCCCACTGCCAATCAGCTACTGATAATAGGGTGAGGCTGAGATAATGTGCTGAAGCTGACCAGGCTGTTTGCTGCAGGGACACTAGCCAGATGAATACCAATGGATGCTGGGAGGCAGAGGTAGATTTTTTTTTCTCGTTTTCCTTCCCAAAAGCTAGGTGCTACTTATGGTCCAGAGCGTCTTATAGTGCAAAAAATATGGTATTTTTTGTTTTTTAAAAAGGGAAAAATAAGGAAACAACCTAATAGTTTGAAAATAAGCCCCACTAAAATGTTTTAATTTTCAAGCATGTTAGTACAACAAATTACTGTTTATTTTAGATATATTTGTAAGGTCATGTTTTCTGAAAGCAAATGCTGATAAGCTTGCTTATCAACCTGATAAACAAACTGATAAGCTACAGTAGTTGTGGTGAGTGGGAAGTCATATAAATATTGAAGGCAAGTGCAGCTATTAGGTTTCAAATCATATACTTGTATTGTTAATGGAATCATGAAGACATAATCAACCCATTCAGATAAGCATTTGTAGATGCAGGGCAACTCTTGAAAATAACAATCTTTAATAACCTTACTGAGGTTAAAAGGGCATTTGATTTGGTGTTAAGAGTTACTTTACGTAAACTTTAATCTCAATAATATCTCAAATTTCTCACCTGTATAAACTGTGTCCTAAGCCATGGCACATGGTTATGCATGAAATAAGTAAAGCATTAGTGTAATTTTGTGCTAACAGCTAGCCTCAGAAGGAACAGTTGTAAAAAACCAGGCACAACATCCTGTCTTTTTTGTTATAGGGAACAATGTTAATATGTCCAATTTATGTCCTAAACCCCATTTTAGTTTAGATTAAAACAATGATCTAAGCATAGCTCTCACCTTGCCTGAAGGTTTTGGATGCATTAAGAAATTTAAGATTCTTGCTACCAGTTCACTGTTAACTCCTGATCTTTCCAAATCAAGAACTTCACATATGCTTTTTAGCATTGCATTTCTGTATCTGTAGAGAAACACACTTCTTAAAATGTTTTATAAGTATTTACTAAATATGTAATACAAATAGACAATATATTAAATATAGGTAATATAAAAGTGTGGGATTTATATACATACATACATGTTTGTTTGTGTGTGTATGTATCAGTGGTGGTATTTAGCTGGTTCAGGCGAACCAGTAATGGTGGCTGCGGAAGGCTTCACCCACCAACCCAGATGTCATCACATCCCGTTTTTGATGCTCTGCGCATGCGTAGAGGTGTCGCTCGCTTGCTTCGCTTGTGCACGCGCTTCCATTTGCAAACCGGTAGTGAAGGTAAGTGAATACCACTACTGGTGTGTATATATACACATACTCACACCTTGGTAGACCAATGTATTTAAAATCCAGAGGCCTCCAAGCCCTTTCAAACTTTAATCAACACTCCTTATCAATGTTACCAACTATCATTTTGCAGATAGACAACTACATTAATATGTTTTATGCTTCTTTTTTAGCCTCCACACAACATATCCAAATCACTCACATTAATCAAGTATTCTTAAAATTAGTGAAAATTCAGATATTAACAATTGTTCTGATTGTTACATTTCCTATACATGAAATAAAATTGCACAAAAAGTTCTCTTAATCATAAATACCAATAGCAACTTGAAAACTATGGAAGACATTACAGTTAATGCAAATAGAGAAAACATTAAAATTTGACAGTAGAGGACCTTTAATATTTCTTCAAAGGGAACTAATATGTTCTCTTTTGACTGGATTGCATTTTAAATGTACAGATGTGAAAATCGACAGTATTTTATTCAATAAATTATACTCAAAGCTACACTGCTATAAACATATCAGCAACAATGTAATGTTTTAGTATAATTTAAGGTAATATTTAAATTTCAGTTGTTTAATTTTTTAAACACGCTATGTTAGAGTATAATATCAAATTATATTAAATTATATTCACAGATATGATTTGAAATACTTGTACAGTGAAGTTACTAATTGAATTTTGTCCTGGGAATGCACATTAGGCTCCAAATATTTTGAACATTAATTATATTGATTAAACATGTTAAAGTCTCACTTTTTCAGCATTTCTTCCTTTTTCTTGTATTGATCACTTCCTTTTTCAAATGGAAAGCCACTGAACTGTCCTACATTCTTTTTCAGTGAAGTAACCTAAAAAAGAATACAATTGGTCAGTATAAAACAATGTTGCAATATTCTTTATTTTATCTAATTGTCAAAATATCAAAGTACAAATGTGTAGCCTTAAAATCAGATAGCAAACTGTCGTGTCAACTTTGACTAAATTCTAAATACATAACAATCAAACTACAGAGTAGTTCTTGATATACAATCATAATGGAGGCTGCCCATCCACAACAAGACAAGAGGGGCTAATTCTGGCTTCACAAGACCAAGCCTTAAGAACAAATGCACACAAAGCAACAGAACTGAAAAGAGAGCCACAGACAGCAAATGCTGCCTCTGCAAAGAAGCTGAAGAAACAGTGGGCCACCTAGTTAGCTGTTGCAAAAAGATGGTACAGACTGACCACAAATGACATGACCAAGTAGCAACAATGATGCATTGGAAGATCTCCAAGAAATACCATTTGCCTGCAAGCAGGAATTGTTAGGACCATAAAAGAAACAATGTAATAGAAAATGAAAAAGTTAAAAGAAGTTAAAGTGCTCTGGCAGACAAACATCTGCTACATAACCATTGTCGATAAGAAAGACAAAAATTTCTGGATAGTGCACATGGCAGTGCCTGGAGACAGCAAAATAGAAGAGAATGAACTGGAGAAAATAACAGAATGCATATGCAAATAGAAATAACATGACTGTGTCAAAAGAAAGCAAATATAGTTAGAGTAGTAACTTTAGCAGCAGTACTTTAGCGGCAGTACCAAAAAATCTGGAACACCATTTCAACAAAACAGGATCAGCATTGACAAAATCACCATCAGCCAATTGCAAAAGGCAGCCTTCCTCAGAACAGCTTGTATCTTGCCACAATACCTTTTACCTTTAATATCATCAAACACCTGCCTATCCTTGGGAAGGACTCGATAGGTGGACAAAAATGCCAAATCCAGTCTAAACATCTGGCTGTGTGACGAACCATAATAATAAAAAACATTTGGGATCTGTAACAAAAATTGAACTGTACTTTGACCCAGCACCAGCAGATCCCATATTTATCAAAATGACACTTAATAACAGAAAAATATTTATTTGAAAGCCTAGAAACAAGGATTCAAGGAAACCTGTAGCCAGTTTTGCATTGCTAATAGATATGAACACTTACTTCTCTTGAACAGCAATTACTTTTTGTTTTGGAAATGAAACTGGGATCAAATAGGAGCCCACAATGGGAGCCCACAATTTCGGTCATAAGTTGTTACAGTTGTAGGTTGAAGCACATATAACTGTCGTCATGACCATTTTTACAATGGTTGTAAAGCTTGTAACTGCAGTCATTAAATGAATTGCGTGGTCATTAAGAGAATCCAGTACATCCAATGGAATTTATTTTATTTTTTTTGCCATTTTCTGCTGGAAAATATTGCAAATCACAGTCACACAGCTGGGCAACTCTGCAACCAATTATGTATGTGAGCCAGTTGCCAAGCACCCAGTATGTAATCATGCAAACATGGGGTTGTAGGTGCAGCAGTTGTAACATTGAGAATGGGTCTTAAGTAGCTTTTCTGAAATCCATCATAACTTTGAATGGATGTTGAGTGACCCATTGAAAGTTAAGGACTACTGGTAACCAAAAGATAAATCATGTAATTCTAAGAGGCATAAATAAAATATGTGCCTCACCAGAAAGAGGCTCATCTAGTATTTACCAGGATTAGGGCCTTTATGGCAATGCCTCCAATACTTCTGGAATCACTTTCACTTAACTGCCTTCACTGTTGTGTCTGAAGAATTTACTTTTGTAGCTTTTGCTTTTGCTTTTATAGCTTAAGCATTTCCCCTGTAGACATGTTTTCAAGTCTACAGGGGAAATGCTTTTAAGAATGATGTTTTTGAGCCAATTTCTGATAATTTTAACTATTTATGGTTTTGTTATTTTGTTTACATTATGTATTATATTTTCAACTTTGGATGTAATTGGAATTTACTGGATTATATTGTAAATTGCTGTAGGCTTCCATTGATGGTAATATGCAGCATATAAATGTGCTTAATTTAGGAAATGGTGTGATTTCATAGAATCATTATATATCAACATGAATGAAAAGCATGTTATGAGATTTCTTACTGTGCCTGGCCTGTTGTAAAGAAGTTTGTGTAAATTTCGAAGTTCATCAGTTTTCTTCTTACTTAAAAAGTACTGTATTCTTTCAATTTCACAAAGTTTTTGACCCTTTCCTGAAAAAGCAAATATTATGTTATAATAATCAAACAAAGTTACTTAATCACTTTTTTAGCCAATCTGTTATTTGCTTTAATCAAAGCCCATCCCCATATTTATTGCAATACTGCTTCAAAATAAACATTAAATGTCCCAAATACCTAAACATATGATAGTTTAGAAAATTACAAATGTGATCTTTCATATTATATACACAAAGGTTTTCTCTTCAATTAATACTTGTTTGATTTCAAACAAAGAAAAGTGTAATATGCAAAATAAATAGCTTGCCTGGTGTAATTGTAAAAGGTTCCTTCTGTAATGATGACACCTGCATTGTCAATCTTTCTACTTTCTTCTTCTCTCGCTTTCCTTCAACAATGAGGCTCTTTTCTGAGAGACAATTGATAGTTTCATGCAGTTAGGAAAGTGGTTGAAATTATTGCACAGAATAAACAAAAATAAAGTAATATGTAGGCTTAATAAAAGTGTATGTGCCACTTGAAAAAGCATTCTGACCTAAAATACTAGCAAATTAAAGTCAGATGTAATCAGATACTCAAATAATTTAACAATTTATCCACAAATGGAATGGAATAGAATATAATAGATTTATTTGATAAACTATGATTAGACACACAAGGGATCTGTCTCTGGTTCAGAAGCTCTAAGTGTACATGCAAAGCAACAGAATCATCACCTAAAATATCTAGTTTTAAGTGTGTTCAGCTCCAGACTGTTCCAGCTGCACCACATGGACAGTTGTTTAACCCCCATCTATATGCAGATTCACCAGTCTCAAATGAGGCCAATGACACTTGTGTCATCTGCAAACTTCAGTACTTTAACAGAGGGATCCCTAGAGATGCAGTCATTGATATAGAAAGAGAAGAGCAATGGAGAGAGCACACAGCCCTGAGGGAGCCCTGTGTTAATTGCCCAAGTACTAGATGTAATTTTCTCTACCTTCCCCTGTTGCTTCCTAGTTATCAAAAAGCTAATAATTCATTTACAAGTATGGACAAGCACAGTGAGATGAATCAGTTTAGAATAAAAATTTTCTGGAATGATGTTATTGAATACCAAGCTGAAGTCTACAAAAAGGGCCTGTGCACAGGTCTCCAGAGATTCAAGGTGTTGCAAGATGTAGTGCAATGCCATTTTGACAGCATCATCTGTCATCCTATTTGCTATAGGCAAACTGCAGGGGATCTAACAGTGGATCCGTGATGACTTTCAGGTGGGCCAGAACTAATCTCTCAAAGGTCTTCATAACTACAGATGTCAGAACAACTAGCCTAAAATCATTCAGCTCCCTGATGTAGGATTTCTTAGGAAATGGGATAATGGTAGAGAGTTTGAAGCAAGAAAGGACATAACACATCTCCAGTGATTTATTAAAGATCGGCATGAAGATGGGGGCCAGTTATGCAGCACAAGCTTTCAAACAAGGAGTTACTATTTGAGGCAGGTGCTTTTCTGATCTTTTGTCTATGAAATGGACTTCACAAATCTTTTGCTAAGATCACCAGAGGTAGGGAGCCCAGAGGGATGGAGATAGGTGTAGGAAATTTGGCTACTGTTGGTATATATGAGGTGGGGAAGGTAGCGGTAGATGACAGTGATCTCCTCTCAGACCTATAGTAGAACACATTCAGTTGATGATTCAGTGGGATTTTATGCATTATCTCCTATCAAGCACTTCCAATACAATTTGAAATTTAAGGATCATGAAAATATAGCATAATTTATGATGTTATGTTAACCAAGTAACAGGTCCTCTGGTTGTCTGTTTGCATCCTACACCATGGAATGAATCCAGTGAGTATGATGAATCTCCTGTCAACCAGAGAATCATGCAATAAATAAATGAAAATCAATATATTTCTCTGCATGACTCAACATTGGCATTATACGTATAGAAAATAATTATTGTAGTATAACATCAAATACTGATTTCTATGTTCTGATACTTTAAAACGTCAAAGCATAAGTTAAAAATACTGTCTCTATTACAAAGTTTGGAACTAAAAGTATAACTTAAAGTAGGAAACCTTAAAAAGTTAAACTGGGAATGCTAGAAAAAATATTGATAGGCTTTTAAAAATAATTTTATTATATTTTCATAATTAACAATATACAAAATTTCCAGACATTAGAAGTGAATAAATTTGATTTTGAACAATTCTATAGGGGTAAAACTCTCTACTTTGTCTTGATATTTCTATATTTTTTTATACCTCACGTATATGTATACTTTCTTCATTGTTGCCTGCAAATTAGGAAGTGCATTGTTTGGTTTTTGAGGACCAAAGGATTTTGTAGATAGATGCAATCTCAACAGATGAATCTTTAATCACAAATTGACTAGCAGTTATTTATTGAATACTGAACACAAATATGAATTACTATACATTCAAAAGCTTTTTTAATTAGAGGACGACAATGAACAAATAGCAACAAAATATTTCTCAATACATTGTATATACAGTCATGCTTCATTTCTCTTAAGCATGATGAGTGAATATAATTAATAATATTTTGAATTAAATCACTGGAAATGAAAATATTACCTCCCAATATGTCATCAAGCATTGCTTGGCATTCAACTAAGCATTTACATAAATAGTTCAAATAAAAGAACTAAACTTATTAGAGACTTAATGCAAAGCTCAAACGTTTTGGTGCCATGACCTGCTAAATTAAATGCATTTGTGTGACAAGTCCTTTCCATAAACAGAACTATCATAACAAAGTGACATGGTTCATATGCCTGGACAAGCCCAGACAATAGAAGCCCTGTCAAAGGGTAGTCTGATAGCTTTATTCAGGGAGAGTGGAGATGTATACATTCATTAAAGGTAGTTGACTTACAACCATTCATTTAGTGACTGTTCAAAAGCCAGTAAAAAAAAAGTGACTTATGACCAGTTCTCACACGACCATTGCAGCATTCCCGTGGTTATGATAAAAATTAGACACTTTGCAACTGGCATAGATTTCTGATGGTTGAACTGTCCTGGGGTCATGTGATCACGTGACCTTCCTAAGCCAGATTTGTTGCGACTATATGATTCATGTAACAACCGTGACAAAAAAAGGTAATAAAATAGGGCATGACTCACTTAACGGAAAAACTGGGCTCAACTGTGATTGAAAGTTAAGGACTACCTGTAGTATGGTGCAGCCAATACTGGCTGCTTCTTTTGCCTATTTCTGGAGGAATCTTTTTGGTGCCTAATCCCAGAAGCCCCTTTGGAGGAATCTAAGTCAGCAGGACAACCTCCTCCACTAGTTTAGAAGTCAATCCCACACAGGCAAGCAATCTTAAGGCAGCAATCAGAGCCAGGCCTCGTGCCTGACCTGAGATAGACGACTTGGTGAATCTTGCACAGATGGATTGGCATTGACAGTATAGAACTCTCCTCAGCACATTTCTTCCCAGATAGCTTGTCTCTACTCCTGGGCTGTATAAGCACCGGGCATGCCAGTACCTGTTGCAGTAGGATAGTAACTTAGCAACAGGAAAGGCCTGTGGAAAACACCGTAGCTTTTTTTTCTTTGTTCTATGGCAGATCTATAGGCACCAACAGTGAAATGAGACTGCTGGAGTTTGTACCAGGAGTGTATCTTTGCTTCACTTATGTAAGCAGAAATGATATTCTGTTCTCTTTCACATTGGGAAGTGCATTTCCTTTCAGACAAATCTGGTAAGATTCACTGAGACTTATTGTTACTGTTTCTCTTTTCTATCCCTTGTCTGAAAGTAGCAATTCTCTTTGTACAAGCTTGGCTTGTAAATGAACAGCTTTATCAATGCCAAACCATACTTCCACTCAGCCAGGACAAAGTGACAGTTAATTTCTTCAAAGAATGAACATGATCTCCACCTTTTAAATGTGACTATTGAGGGTCACATCTCACAATTTGAAGTTCTCCATCGTTTGTATAATGAACAGAAAATAAATGTAAAAAAAATATATTCACTGTTCTCTACAATCTACAATCAATTCCATTCTGGGGAGTTTCTACTTGAAAGTGACAAGGAGCCAGAGGAGGATGGGATCTGAAAATAGCTTGCTGTCTATACAGTCGTTTGAATCTCTGTTCAGAATAAATTCCACTCACCTTTTTCCTCTTCCTCTTCCTCTTCCTCTTCATCGTCCTCGCTATTTTCAGTTCGTGGTTCTCTTTTTTCCTTTTGTTCAGTAGAAAGTAAATCATCTTTTTCAGAAACAGAAGACATATCTGCTTTCTTTCTGCACAGACAATATAGGGGAAAATATCAACTTAGTATAAAGCATTTTATTACTACTAGTACTGTGAATTTCAACACACAGTAGCAGTGTTGCACCTTCTAGCACAAAGGTTCAATGTGCATAGTCATAATTGGTTTATTTTTGGCTTAGAAGGATATGTGAGCCTTAAGGTAAAGGTAAAGGTTCCCCTTGCACATATGTGCTAATCGTTCCCGACTCTAGGGGGCAGTGCTCATCTCCGTTTCAAAGCTAAAGAGCCAGCGCTGTCTGAAGACGTCTCCGTGGTCATGTGGCTGGCATGACTAAACATCAAAGGAGCACGGAGCATTGTTACCTTCCTACCAAAGGTGGTCCCTATTTTTCTACTTGCATTTTTTACGTGCTTTCGAACTGCTAGGTTGGCAGAAGCTGGGACAAGTAACGGGAGCTCACCTCGTTACGTGGCACTAGGGATTCGAACCACTGAACTGCTGACCTTTCGATCGACAAGCTCACGTCTTAGCCACTGAGTCACCGCGTCCCTTCTTGTGAGCCTACTCATTACCATTTAATGTTATATACTTATTAGGTGACTCATATTTGTTCCATAAACAAGGATTTAAAAGTCCTGCTTTACCATTATATAAGCTCAGTTACTGCCTTTCAAATTTTCTTACACAAGAAGCAGTGTTTAGGAGTAGATATGTATTTGTTAAATAACCTATTAAATACAGCCCCAAATCTCATGTGAATATTTTGCTATAAATTCAACATTATCTGGTAGGTAAATCATATGCTAATAAACATGCAGATAAAGACAAACTACTAGTAAATAAAACAGATGGATAATCTATTGAATAGTTTTATGACCACATCAAAGGTAAAATACAAGGTGTATTTCCAAGATAAACTAGGTAAAAGAAAATATAATACATTATTATATATTAAATTTATTTGTTCCCCATCTCACAAGTATGCTAAAAATAATCAATTATTACCTTCTATTATTGGTAATGGAAAAAACTGGAAACAAATTCCTTGTGTGTCCAATCACTTGGCCAATAAAGAAAATTGAATTGAATTGAAATACATTGGCTCTACATGATACCGAGTTATTTAATATAATTCTTAGCTGAACTGCCTTCTCTGTAAACTTAGCAGTTCTGCTAACAATGTATATGTTAGAGCCTAAGAGGAAATAGGACCATGTGTGATTCAGGCCCCAATGGGCAATCTTTTCATATATGGATTTAAAACACCTAAGCCTAAGGGGCATGCAGTTGACAAACGAACAAAATATGAGCAATATCTTCAATGGCTAGGGCACTGCATGCATATATCCTCTCATATAGGAAGTTGGAAGCACCCAAATTTGCCATGGAATCAAATAACTTAAATTTTGCTCTAGATTAAGCTGTTCTGCAAATTAAGTAAAATAAATTCCGCATTAAACACACTAAAAAACAGAAAGATGCATTCAAAATAATGCTTTCCATAATTTTTATGATACAATTTCAAATTGTTATATCCTGATTCGAGATTTCCAGTTACTTAAATAGAATTGAACAATATGACTCCCACATATGAAAGGAAATTAATCAAAATTGACTTAGAAATCTATTACTAAACCAATTATTTATTTACTTATTATATTTATAGTATATATATTATACTTATTAATTATAAAATTAAGTTAGAACATTTTTGCTTTATAACTCAAGTCAAAACTGTTTTGTAGTGCTGCTTTGAGAATACTTCTGAACTAGAGATAGACTTTGGTCTCACCTATAAAAAATGGCAATGGATCACTCAATACATTAGATTATTCAATACATATTTTAAATAGGTATTTGGTATATATCTGCTTGGTAAATTTCGTACAGGGACAGACAGAATTCCAAATAAATATTTATATTGAAATTAGTCCATTCTTGGCTTTGTTACTATACTAATATGTATAGAATCAATCCCAAAAAAATTCAGATGTATAGATATAGCAACCAAGATAGACTTAAAAATCCTCGTTCATTTTGACCAAGTCACTATTATACATAAGAACATAATAAAGATCAATTTAGACCATGATTACTTGAATACATATGGACAGCATGCAAGAAAACTAGAGCAGAATCTTTTATTTTTATTTTTTTATTTTGAATTTGTATACCGCCCTTCTCCCTGAGGACTCAGGGCGGTGAACAGCCAAGTAAAAACATCAAGTACAAATATTAAAATACAGTTAAATATATATATATATATATATATAAATTTGGCCCGATTAAATAAAAAAACAATAAATAAAACACTTAAAAACATTTAAAAAATTAGGCCAGCCCGGCTTGCTGGAAAAGGAAGGTTTTAAGGGCATGGCGGAAGGCACTGAGGTCTTGGATTCTTCTTATCTCTGGAGGCAATTGATTCCAGAGGGTAGGTACCCCCACAGAGAAGGCCCTCCCCCTGGGGGTCACCAGCCTGCACTGTTTGACTGATGGCACCCCGAGGAGGCCCTCTCTGTGGGAGCGCACGGGTTGATGGGAGGTCGTCGGTGGCAGCAGGCAGTCTTGAAGATAGCTAGGCCCTATGCCATGGAGCGCTTTAAAGGTGATAACCAACACCTTGAAGCACACCCGGAAGACCACTGGGAGCCAGTGCAGCTCGCGCAGGAGCGGTGTTACATGGGAGCGCCATGCTGCTCCCGTCACTACCCGCGCTGCTGCATTCTGGACCAGTTGGAGCCTCCAGGTGCTCTTCAAGGGGAGCCCCATGTAGAGAGCGTTGCAGTAGTCAAGGCGAGAGGTAACGAGGGCATGTGTGACTGTGCACAGGGAATCCCGATCAAGAAAGGGCCGCAACTGGCGAATCAGGCGAACCTGACAAAAGGTCCCCCTGGTTACAGCCGTCAGATGTTCCTCCAAGGACAGCTGCGTATCCAGGAGGACTCCCAGATTGCGAGCCCTCTCAGTGGGGGCCAACGACTCGCCCCCAATAGTCAGTGATGGAGTCAACTGACTATATCGGGATGCCGGGAGCCACAGCCACTCAGTCTTGGAAGGGTTGAGCCTGAGCCTGTTCCTCCCCATCCAGATCCGCACAGCCTCCAGGCACTGGGACATCTCTTCAAGGGCATCGTTGGGGTGGCCAGGGGTAGAGATGTACAGCTGGGTGTCATCAGCGTACTGGTGGTATCTCACCCCAAAGCCACGGATGATCTCACCCAGCGGCTTCACATAAATGTTGAACAGGAGGGGCGAGAGGACCGACCCCTGAGGCACTCCACATATAAGAGGCCTTGAGGTCAACCTCTGCCCCCCTGCCAACACGAACTGCGACCGGTCGGAGAGAAAGGAGGAGAACCACCGTAATGCGGTGCCCCCCATCCCCAACTCTTCCAACCGGTGCAGCATGATACCATGGTCGATGGTATCGAAAGCCGCTGAGAGGTCTAACAGGACCAGAACAGAGGAGCAACCCCTGTCCCGAGCCCTCCAGAGATCATCAACCAACGCGACCAATGCCGTTTCCGTGCTGTGCCCAGGCCTGAAACCCGACTGGAACGGATCTAGATAGGATGTTTCCTCCAAGAATTGCGGAAACTGTCGCGCGACCACACTCTCAACAACCTTCGCCAGGAAGCGAAGGTTGGAGACAGGACGATAGTTGGACAATATTGCTGGATCCAGGGATGGCTTCTTGAGGACAGGCCTCACCACCGCCTCTTTCAAGGCGGCGGGGAAGTGACCCTCACTCAACGAAGCGTTGATAACACCCTGGAGCCAGCCTCGTGTAACCTCCCGGGAGGCCAGTACCAACCAGGAGGGGCACGGGTCCAGTAAACATGTGGCCGCACTAAGTCTCCCCAAAATCCTGTCCACATCATCGGGAGTCACAGCATCAAACTCCTCCCAGGTAACATTCTCAAGACTATTCCTCGCCACCCTGCCCTGATCTACCCAGTCAGAGTCCAAATCCCCCCGGATCTGAGCGATTTTGTCATACAGGTATTGTCTGAAATCCTCCGCCCTGCCTTCCAAGGGATCCTCCTGCGCTCCCGGATGGAGCAGGGAGCGGGTTATCTTCCAAGTGCATTTCCCAAAAATTAATAGTCAAGAGGAATATTGTTTTTCAGTGATGAGAGCCTTATGTTCCTTGAATGCATTTATCCCCTTTTAAAATTGTCTAACTTAATGAAGCTTTGCATTAAATAATGTAGTTTATTTACAATTCAGAACTTTTGAGAAGTGAAATATAAATTCAAAAACTTCACTCAGCCATGGAATTCAATGGTTACTTTGGATAAGGCAGTACAACTCAAACTACTAGCTCTGAAAACCAAGCTGCTTGAATAAGGACACCAGAACATTCCGTATAATGCTAAATAATAAACCCCAATATGACATTCTGTGTCTGATTTTCACACTTATATATTTTCTTCACTGAAGTAGGCAATTCTTGCTATCTCTGCAGATATAAACAGACTATTTTAAGAGGCCACTTCATGCAGTTGGTGGAGAGAGCGTGCAACAGATGAATCTGTACAACATGCTTATCAACTGGATCATGTAATGGAAATAACCAATCATCTGGTCTTGCGTAATACACCATACCATAAACTAACCATACTGGTACATTTCTCACAGCATTTTAGGCTAAAATACAGCTGGTCATTTTCTGATGCAGTATTGATGTTTGCAGATTGTCAGGTCATAGAAACAAAATATATTTTTCGAATAACACCAAAAAGGAATGTTTCTGAGTTGCACAGAACTTTTCAGCTTCAATGTTTTAATTTTTAGCAGCTATTTTGAAACAAATTCTCCAATAGCTAATACCTGCAGGTAGTAGCACATTGATGAGATAGGCTGCCAATAAATAATGTAGTAGTAGTAGTAGTAGTAGTAGTAGTAATAATAATAAATAATAATAATAATAATAATAATAATGCTGTCAGCAACCCGCTTCAACCATTAGTGCCAGTCAATATTTGTGATATATTTTTAAATGTTCAGTTGACTGAGTTTCATGTTTAATGAATATAATCATCATCATCATCATCATCATCATCATCATCAAGGCGCTACGAGTAGGAAATCAAAACACCCCCATCTTCCCCTTAAGAATTGCAAATCCCAGTAACTTGTGAAAGAAAGTCAGTTGGGTGACTTTGGGCCAGACCCTTTTTCTCAGTCCAACCTACCTCTCGGGGTTGTTTGTTGTGGAGAAAATCGGAGGTAGGAGTATTAAGTCTGCTCGCCTGAGTTTTAAAGGAGGAGATTTCAGGCAAGGAATTACACGGACGTGAAGCAGAGGAAGAGCACCGAGGCTAAGAAATTACACCAAGGAGGAGGAGAATAATAATAATAAAATATCGCGGCCGAGGAATTACGAGGCGTCCCCAAGAGGTGAACTGATCAGTTAGGCGCCTTCCTCTTCTACTGTGATTTATCCCATTTTACTACCGCTGCTTGCTTAAAGACCATAGGCTCCTGTAGCCCCAGAGGGCAGAGAACACAGCCTCGGGTAGCCGGCGAGGACTGTGACAGGCAGCAGAATTCCGGCGGGAAAAACAGTTAGAGCCGCGGAAAACGTCAGGCCTCGCGCTGGCCGCAATTGAAGTCCACTCTGAGGGGAGAAGGGAAGAGAGGCGCTGAGGGACTCTTTCCCCTTTCCCGGTTCTATGGGGCGCCGTGCTAGGCCCTCCCCGCTTCCCCGGCCGAGTTTCGGACACTAGCACACCGTCCCTCCGGTCGGGCCTGTCACAAGCATTTTTTCGACCGTTATCCCAACAACACCGAAACACCCACCTCGGATACTTCGGGGCGCTTCTAAGAAAACGGGCCCAGCAGCGACGGAGGCGGCCCCCGGATGGCGACAAAACAAAACGCTTCAGGAGGGCACGACCCGCGTTTAACAGAAGAGGGGTAGGGGGTGATATTGACGTTACTGGCTTTCCTCACAGAAAATCAACAACGTTTCAAAATGGCGGGTTGTCAAAGGAGAAGAAGGAAGCGGGAAAGTGCCGGCCAATAGATGCTCAAGGCGTAGACCCGAGGAGGCGGGGTTAGAAAGTGATGGGCAGGAGAGCAAGTCAAAGACATGAATTTTTCGAGGAAAGTAGACGGAGCATGCGCAGAGTCGGAACGCTGTCCGGAGTGGGTGAGAAGCTCCGCGAGGCCACCTGCAGTTCCTCGCGCGTTTTTTTCTTCTTAATTGTGAGGTGGATGTTGCATTCCCTTCCAAATCCAGAGAATGGAGGAAGGCAGGGTTTCTTTCTCAAAGCTTAGCTTTTTTTCTCCTCCCCCTTTAAAACTCCGTGAGGGAAGTATATGATTTATTTACCCGAAATAAGTGGAACAAGTAGAGCAGGTATAACTTGGGAAACGACCCTTATCCCAAAGAGGTGGATAGGTGAATTCTTGGTTTGGTCTGTGCTTAAATGAGTTGCACAAAGCAAAGATTAATAGGATATGTCTGGTTAGTGAAAAGAAGGATTAGGGGTGACATGATAGCGGTGTTCCAGTATTTGGGAGCTGCCACAAAGAAGAGGGAGCCAATCTATTCTCTAAAGCACCTGAAAGGAGGATAAGCAACAGATGGAAACTAACCAAGGAGAGAAGCAACCTAGAATTAAGAAATTTCCTGACGGAACAATTAATCAGTGGAACAGCTTGCCTCCAGAAGTTGTGGGTGCTTCAACACTGGAGGTTTTTAAGAAGCGATTGGACAACCATTTTGGTTGGAAATGGTGTAGGGTCTCCTAGGGGGTTGGACTAGAAGACCTCCAAGGTCCCTTCCAACTTTTATTCTGTAAAGGAATCTTTATTGAATATGTGCCCTGGTTTTTGGATCACAGTTTATTGAATAAAGTGTACCAGGTAGTCCTTGACTTATGACCACAATTGAGTCCAAAAAATCTGTGGCTAAATGAGAATTTGTTAAGTGAATTTTGCCCCATTTTATGACCTTTCTTGCCACAGTTAGTAAGTGAATCAATGCAGTTGCTAAGTTAGTAACACGGTTGTTAAATGAATCTGGCTTCCCGATTGAATTTGCTTGTCAGAGGGTTGCAAGAGGTGATTCACGGGATCTCAGGACACTGCAACCATCATAAATATGAACAAGTTGCCAAGCATCCGAATGTTGATCACATGATCATGGGGATGGTCATAAGCATGAAAAATAGTCTTAAGTCACTTTTTCAGTGATGATGTAACTGAACAGTGACTAAATGAGCTATTGTAAATTGAGGACGATCTGTAAGTGCCTGAATTTACATTAGGCACCAAACAAATGAGACACGCTTTGGCTTAGAGGTATTTTGTTTATTTAAAACATTTAGAAAGCTGCCCAATTCAAAATTTATTATTCTGGGTGGCATATTGAACTAAAATAAGCCACAACAAGGCTTATCCCCTAGGCTGGATGTAACAAGCACTAACAGAACAGGTAATAATCCTGGCCAAAAGTCTAGCCACCTACGCCTTAAAGGGGAGCTTGTTTTAAAGATATAGTATCTACTGTACCTTTTATCCAGATCTAAATATGGGCATAGCACATTCAGATATCATACCAAAGTGGACCATCTTCATGAAACTGCAACGTACTTTCCTCTTAGAATTCTTGACACTTCTTCTATTTTTATACCCTCACTAACTTGCATGCCAAAAAAATAATGTATTTGCTTAATTCCAATAGAATGTTAGACTCAAGGAGTGTCAGGAATTCCAGAATGAATTTTGTGGTTTCATTAAAATGGTCAATCTCAAACCAAAGAAATCTCTGGACGGGATTTTCCAGTGCTGTTAATTTATGACAATATTATTACACCCAAACATATACCATATTTTTCTGAGTATAAGACATACTTCCCCCCCCCCCCCCAAAAGAGGGTGGAAATGTTGGTGCATCTTATACACCAAATACAGCCATTTTTGGCCTCCCGAAGCCCCGCACCACTTGTCCCATTTTTGCAAAAAATGGACACTTTTTTTTTTCAAAAACAGGATGCACAGAGAGTTTGGGAGGCCTGCAGAGTGCTCCTGGGGGCTGGGGAGGGCAAAAACTTTTTTTTCTTACTTACCTCTTCAAAATCTTGGTGCGTCTTATACACTGGTGCGTCTTATATTCTGAAAAATATGGTACATTCTGGTCTGGACACAAAATTATAGCCAGATTTGAACTGTCATTTGCAGTTAAGATGCAATACATAGGACATATCTTCATTTGTATATTTTATGACATCTCTTAATATCCATTGGCAGTTGTAATGAATATTCCTCAATCAGAATAAGCCCCTACTACTATAATACATTTCAGTATTTAATTTTCTGAATCAGAAATGGAAATTAATTTCCAGAAAAATGCTAGATCACATTCAGAATAACTAAATTGGGACAGACAAAGTCAAATAGGTGATAGGTTTTGCACAAACCTATGATTGAGGTAATTGATTGCAGTTTGTCAATGTTGTCCAAAATATTTGGCTACTCATTACTGCAAGTGGAAATGGCAGTGACTAATACGCATATGAGAGCCAGTTTGATATAGTGGTTAAGGTACCAGGCTACAAAATGTGAGTTCTAGTTCTGCTTTAAGCATGAAGCCAACTGAGTGACTTGGGGCCAATCACTTTTTCTCAGCCTAGGAAATAGGCAGTGGCAAACCTCTTCTGAAATGGCCAAGAAATTTGCCATGAAAACTGCAGGGATATATCCAAGTAGCCTCTAGAAGTCAACACTGGTAGGCATACACACATGTGTATACACACATACACACAGAAAGAGACCATATATTTTTGCAGGAGTCATAGACCCTTCCTCACTTAATGTCTAAATTTTTAATTTTACCCAAATCTGTATCAATTTATTGTTGCCGATTTAGTCCATAGAATTATGTAGCTGGTCCCCAAATAATTCAGTCTTTTCTTCTTTCAACAAAAAGTCGTTATTGGTTTTCCTTAAACTAACTGACCTTTGCCATTTTTACAAATTCTTCCAGTTTTATAATCTAATCCAGAGGTGACAAACTCGATTTCATTGAGGACCGCATCAGGGTTGTGTTTGACCTCGCCCGGGATGGGTGTGGCCAGGGTAGGTGGGTCTCATTTTTGCTGGCAGAGTGCTGCAGGAGGCTGTTGTGGCCCAAAACGGGGCCCAGGGGGGCTGCGCATGCCCCCCCAAGCTCTATTTTTGCTGGCAGAGGGCTGCAGGAGGCTGTCACGGCCAAAAATGGGGCCCATGAGGGCCATCTATATTTATAAGCAAAATTTGAAGTTTATTTATCATGCAGTCAATTTTATCATGGACTTTTTAAACAATTTATCCTCTGTTTCAAGGTTTTGATCTTCCTCTATGTGACCCCTCTTGTGTTTGAAGAGAACTATCCTTCCCCCACTCTTTAACTGAGGTTGAACTGACCCCGACCCCAGTGTCACCCGTTGCCGCCGGAATGGCAGCCCCGAGCTGCCAGGTGCGCCAGGGCTGACACCCAGTTGCTGTCATTAAGCAAGGACCATGAAGGTTGTTTAGCAAGGATCTTACCTGACTATGACTTCCAACCTATCAACTTCCCCACTGACTTTGCTTGTGGGAAGCTGGCAGAGAAAGTCACAAATTGCAATTTGGGATGTTTTAACATCATGATCACGATCTGTGTGATGAGCATCTGGTTTGTGATTTTGTGACCAAGGGATGCTGTGCCATTTGTAAGTATAAGGTCCAGTTGTTCAGTGCTATTGCAAGTTTGAATAGTCATTAAATGAGTGGTCGTTAAACGAGGATCACTTATAATGACAGAAAGAGGCATTGGATGAATTTTGACATTGGTTTTGTGTTTATGAATAGTCTAAACGGAATTTTTTCATGTGAACGCTAGAGGGAGCTTTGCATCAAAGTGCAACAATGATTTTTATAATCCTCAGGTTTAGTTAAAACAAATTTTCAGGATCCACTTCTCTGCATATGTAAGCAATGTTAGGAAAAGTTTTTATAAGATTTGAGCTAAACTTGCAAAACATTTAGCTATAATAAAAGCTTCATACAAGATAAAACCCGTTGTTTCAATTTCCTTATTTTTCCTCTCTGTTACAATAATAGACTTTAAAAAACTCAAAAATGCAATACAGGTAGTCCTTGAGTTATGATGGCAATGGGAACCACTGCTAAACAGTGGTCATAAAGCATGATGTCATGTGACCACATTAGTTAGTGGTGGTAATCCAGGCAGTCCCTAGTGCCATTGTCACCTGAGATGTGTGGGTCATTAAGTGGGAAGCATGGGTGGCCCAGGTAAGGAGCTGTGGCAGTGTCTCAGGGTGTGGGGGAGACCCTAAGAGGGCCAGCGCGGGCCACATGTGAATTGAGGGAGAGGGTTGCTGCAGTGTGGCGCAACCGATAGGAATGGAAGGAAGCCAGGGAAGGAGGGTGTGTGTGTCGGTGAGCATAGGAAGGCCTGGAAAGGAGAGAGTGTGTGAATGCAAGGAGGCCTAAGAAAGAGAGCATCGGTTACATGTGTATGTGCAAGCACAGAGGGGCCCAGGGAAGGAAGGCACTGGTGGGTGCAAGTACAGAGACACCCAGGGGAAGTAGGCATTGGTGAGTGGGTGTGCAAACAAAGGGGAAAAGGAGGGTATAGTGTATACATGCAAGTGAAGGGAGAAAAAAGGCCAAAATGGGATGTGGGAGACTTATCTGAGCCAACTTCCTATTGACTTTGCTTGTGGGAAGCCAGCAGGGAAGGCTGCAAATAAGAATTCATGACTGCAGGAAAACTGCAACTGATCATAAGTGAAAGTTGGTTGCCAAGATCCCAAATATTGTTCATGTGACTGCAGGAAAACTGCAACAGTTGGAACTTAAAGGACCAAATGTAAGTGCTTTCGTTTGGTGCCATTGGAACTTCAAATGATTGCTAAACGAATCATTGTAACTTGAGGAATATCTGTAATCTGTTTTTAAACAAATGTGGGGAAAATATAGAACTCTTGAATTGGTTAATCCAGTATTTTTGTGCTATATT